GTATTCCTAAATCTGGCATGCACAGAGGCGATGAACATGGTTTGGGTCCGCCATCCGAACCTGCGGTGATCCTTCAGGTCCGCATCGAGAAAAGATGATGCCAATCATAGGGATGAAGATATGCTTCAGACCGGGTAGGGCGGGGTGGACGAGCTCCCCGTCGCACCTCCCTGGCCAGGCCGGCAGAGCCTCCAAATCCACCCCCCGCGGCCGACGCCCTCCAAGACAGGATGCGGAAAGGCCCCAACTCGCCGAAGAGGCCTCAAAACATGCAAGATAGCCCAAAGACGGCAACCGAGGCCTAGAAGGCGCCCAAGAAAGCCCCAAGATGACCCGCAGAACAGCCTCAAGAGGCAACACATATTGATTTTCCATCGGTCTTCGAGTGGTTGTCCCGTTCACGCCATAGCAAAAGTCAAAAAGGTTCTGAAAGCCCGAAACGGCCCGAGGGGCCCCCACAAACTGGTCCCAGATGGCTCGAGAGGGTCCCGTGAGGGCCTGCAGACGGCCCAGGGAGGGGGGGGCCAAGACTGTCCACGAAGCCCTCAAGACTGCCCCCCAGAAAGCTTCCATAGGTCCCCAAGAGAGGCCCATTAGGGGAAACTCGTCAGAGCCCCAGGAGCCCCCCCCTCACAAGGTGGCCCCCAAGACAGCCCTGCATGCGCCAAAGAGGACCTCAGGAGACCCAAACAAAACCCCAACGCAGGAGCCCGGGCTCCGAACAGGCTGTCCCCGAGGCCTCGCAGCACAACGGGAAGCGGCAACCAGCACGTACGAAATCGGGAACCGCAAACGTCATCATGGAATCGGCGGCATGGTGCACGCTCCGTGAATGAAAGTTTGGGAGGGGGGATGTGGGCATATGACCTGCGTGTGCACGTATGTGTGTGAGTGCGTGTGGAGGGTAAGGGGACGAGAAGGCATAGGAAAAGAAAAGGATTGGGTTTGTCTGGAGAGGCAGCTCATTAGGAACCCCCCGCGCCAACGGCGATCGGTTCTTCATCTTCATCTCGGTACGTCAACTCGGTGCGTCAACTCGGTGCGTCAACAACTCGGTTCGTGAACTCGGGACCAGAGCGCTCTCTCCAGAGATCTCGGAGGAGGGAGGGAGGCGAACTGCTCCGCCCAGACGTGCCACGAGAGAGGGTAGAAGGGAGCGGAGAAGGACAGAGTGCATCGTGAGGGGGAGTGGACGAGGGAGACTAGGAACGGCCAGCGAGAACGAAGGAACGCGACGGGGGGCAACTTTCCTCCTACTCCGGCCGGTCCAGTCTGAGCTTCCACATCATTGCATTTCCACTCCAAGCTCTTGCCACAAACTACCTCTTGCCCATCCTATCCCGCTTCCTCCTCCGCCGCCTCCGCCTCAATTCCCCTCCTCTTCCTGCTCCTCCTCCTCCTCCTCCTCCTCCTCCTCCTCTCCTCGTCTTCTTCATTAGTCCTTGCCCCTCATCGATTCTCACTCCTCGCCTCTCACTCCTGCTCCTCCTCTCCGCCCCGTCTCCACTGGTCCACCATCTCTTCCGCAACAGACACTGCAGTGATGGGGCCTCACTCTAGCCTTGGGCCCGACCTCCCAGCCACCCTGTCCTGAACTGCCCACCAGTGAACAGACGGCGAAACGACCGGCTGGTGGACGACTTTCGCTGCGACGCCCCAGACCAGCTGTGTCCGTTTCACCCCGAAACCCCTTCGACACCAAGAGACCCGAGTCGCCCTCTACCTCACTGGTGGTGCCCCTCTCCCTCTACCTGCCCGCACTGCCGCCGCCTTCTCCTCCTCAACACTTTCGGGTATTGCAGTGCTGCCACTGGCCCGAGGTGCCCCCGGGATTTCCCAAGGAGGCCCCCACGGCCTCCAGGGCACCCTTCACGAGGCCCAGACGCCCCCAGGGGCTCCACCATGGAGCGGAAAGGTGGGGCCACCCAGGCCCAGGGGCACCTTCAGCAACCACCGCGACTTTGTCCTGGTCCGCCTCATCCTCCACTCCGTCGTCTTCCAGACACGAGCCAGCCATAGCAGTCTTTTCTTGTAAGGTATCTACGGCGTCGGTCACGAGGCTTAGGAGAGGAGGAGCAGAAGGAGAGGAGCAAGAGTAGGGAGAAGGAGCAAAGGAGCAATGCAAGGAAAAGAAAAGGAGCAAGGAAGAGCAGAAGGCGAAGGAAGGAAGCAAGGAGAGGAGCAAGGGGTAGGAGCGGAGGAGCAGAAGGAGAGCCTCCTCCTCCTCCTCCTGCTCCTCATGTTTCCCTGGCCCACAGCACATACGCGCACACGATCAAAGCTGCCAAAATGCCTTGGCCCACACAACATAAGCGCATGCGACCAAAGGGGCCAAAATGCGCCATCCCGAATAGGTCGGCGTGGCCGGAATACGGCTACCCACCTCACAGCTGATGGCGGCCATGCCCAAGCGCTTCCCGACAAAGGCAGGGCCTGGGGGTCGGACCTCGCTTCGGCAGCAAAAACCTAAGCTTCCTCTCGGCTCCACCAAGAAGACACCACTGAAAACGTGATGTGGGCCTCGGCGTCCGCGGGACAAGCGTGCTGAGTAACCTCGCGGTTAAGACGAAGGTGGGAAAGACGACAACATCGTCAAATCCGTCGGCCACCTTGCGGGGCCATCAGGCTGCGAGGCTTAGGCTTGCTGCTTGGTGCTCCAGTTCGAGTCCCCAGTGTCCACTGTGAGAGTTCTACGTGCTGCTTCCAACTGTAAAGTGTTGAAGTCCGCAAGAAGGGTGGGAGCCGAAAAGCGGCTTGGTCACCACGCCCGGATCGCGTTGTCTGAATTCCTGGCGGGGCGTGGGACACGTGAGAGTACCTGAGATTCGCGCCCCCGAGGCCACAATCCTTCATAAAGTACGCAATGCTCGCGTCCCTGAGGCCACAAACCCTTGTAAAGTATGCTATTGTTGCGTCCCCGAGGCATCAAGCCCTTGTAAACTACGCACTGTTCGCGTCCCCGAGGCCATAAACCTTCGCAAATGACGCCGTATTCTCATTGCCGAGGCCAAGAGTGCTCCAAGGCGCCCGAAGATGGCTCCAAGACGGCCCAAGAGGGCCCAAAGAGGGCCCAAAAGCGCTCCAAGAGGCCCAAATCGTAGATTTTACAGACATGTAATTGAAGGATTTGGGCCTTCTCGGAGTTTGGGCTTTCCGACGCTCCAAGACGGCTCAAGAAGCTCCCAGGGCCGCCCCAAGACAGCCCAAGACGCCTCCAAGAAGGCCCCTAGACAGGCCCCAAGACGGCCCAAGATGGCTCCAAGATGGCCCAAGAAACGTTTTCTATGGCTGCTGGCGACAAGCTGCACGATGCTTCGACGCCCTCGGCCGGAGGCCGAGAAAATAGTCTAGCGTGAAGAAGAAGCCGGGCAAGAATCGCCTAGGGCGAAGCCGGCCCAAGAAGCGCTCAAGACGGCCCAAGAGGACCCCAAGACGGCCTCAAGAGGGGCCCAAGCAGGGGACCACGAACCGAACAATCGATGTTGGTGTCCCGAAAGGCCCCCGGCAGGCCCCAAGAGGCCGAGGGCCCAAGGGGCCCCAAGAGGGCGCCCAAGACGCGCCCAAGAGGCCTCGAGGAGGCCCAATAGATACCCCAAGAGGCCCATAGAGGGCGCCCAAGACGCGCCCAAGAGGCCTCGAGGAGGCCCAATAGACAGCCCACGAGGCCCCAAGAGGGCGCCCAAGACGCGCCCAAGAGGCCTCCAGGAGGCCCAATAGATAGCCCACGAGGCCCCAAGAAGGCGCCCAGGACGCGCTCAAGAGGCCTCGAGGAGGCCCAATAGACAGCCCACGAGGCCCCATGAGGCCCCCAAGAGGCGCCCAAACCGACGTAAGAGGGGCAATCTTGGGGCTCCCCACGACACCCCAACACATATACAAGCGGCCTGAGACCCACAGCCCAGGCACGGTGGCGGGATGGGCAGAAGGTCACTAGGATGACGCCAACGTCGCAATATGCGCTGATGATCCCTATACGCTCCCGCATGATGTTCCCAGATGCGCCAAGGCAGCGCCGAGACGCACCGACGCCACCCTTGTATATCCCATTACGATACAAAGGGGGCCGGCGGCAGAGGGCGAAGCCCTGACAGATATCCGAAAGCCAACGGGTCCAGAGGATGCATCGAACGCCGCGGCCCCTCCAGAGCTCTATCAACGCTCAGGCAGCGTTCCAGCACACTCTGGGGCGATATTACGCGGCGCGCGTAAGGGGGTGGCGCAAGGGGGGCGGGATTCTAAGAGGGCGGGGGGTTTGCTGGAGGGCAGGGGCCTTCATGGAAGCGCCTGGATGCTTCTAAGGAGGCCTCTTTCGGGCGTTGGCAGAACTGGGAGTTGGCGGGACCTGGTTTAGTGATGCGTGCTGGGGGTCGCCCCCCCCGCCCCGCCCGTCCCACCAACCAGAACTGCCGTCACCCGAAAAAACACCAGCTACGGCAGACCTGGTTTAGTGATTCTGGCCAATCGGCGGTGGACAAACCTCCCTTCACTAAACCTCCCCTCAGTGAAAACGGCCTGGGACCGAAACCAACGGACCTGGACCCGCGAAAAAGACAGCCGCGACGCCCTCTCGCGAGCCGAAAACGGCCAATTCCTTAATTCGGCGGTGGACAAACCTCCCTTTAGTGAAAACGGCCTGGGACCGATACCGACCGACCTGGACCCGCAAAAATGACGGCCGCGACGCGCTCTCGAAGGCCGAAAACGGCCAATTCTTTAATCGACGTGTCAGGGTAGGAGGTCCATCCACCCCTGGGCCAATTTGGGGGCTCCGGGGCCCTACTGCCAACCGGGTCCCCTCACCCGGGGTCCTGGCCAATACCCGACTCTGCGAGGCTGGGAGGGCTCCTATAGAGGCCACCCGCCCGGCTCCTCAGCCTCCCCGCGGCTTCCTGAAGGCCCCCTCCTCTTGCCATCGCTCGGACGTCCGTTTCCCGTGCACTGCTCGGCTTCGTGCGCGTTTTCTGTTGCTCGATGGTCCAGGATGGCCCTCGATGGCTCCCGCCGAGAAAGAAGCGCACACGTCCGAGCGAGGCCAGGTCCTCTGGCGCCACCCCCCTCGTGAGCGCCGCAGAGAGACACCCCTCCTTCGTGCCCGGCTCGCCTGGCCGAGGTCGTCACCGCCACTCGGACCAGAACAGCTGCGCCGCCGAGACCTGCGCCCGGGGGATCTGCTCTCCGGCGCGGCCCTGGCGGAGCTCGTCGAGGGTCGCGGCGGCGGCCGAGGGCTTGCGGCTGTTCACGTACGTCGTGAGCAGGCCCTCGTTCGACAGCCAGTCCAGATACTGCTCCCATCGCGAGAGCTCCATCGTCCCCCACCTCCCACGCTGGTCCAGCAGCGCGGGCGCCAGCTTCTCCATCGACAGCGCAACCATGTCTGGCTGCAGCGATGCATCGCCGCACTCCGCCTTGGCGCCCTCCACCAGCAGCTTTGCCGCCTCCGCGGGGTTCGCGGCGGCCCACTCCCACCCCTCCGCGGACGCCTCCAGAAAGCTCCGGATGAGGTCTGGGTTCGCGTCGAGTAGCTCTGGGTGGGCAACCAGGCACGGAGCGTACCCGTAGGGAATCCCGAAGTCCTCCAGCGCGAAGAGGCTGAGCTCAGCCTGCTTCATCTGGGCCTCGACACCCTCCCAGCACGTGAAAATCCAGGTCGCGTCCGTCGCGCCCTCCTGCGACTTCGGGCACAGAACCGTGTTCCAGAGGCCCAGCATTGGGCTGACTACCTCCTCGAAGTCTCCTTTGCCGCCGGCCTTCTGTATCATCTTCTGCACGATGCGCCCCTCGAAACGGGCCGCGTAGGAAGCGTACCTCTTTCCGTCGAGGTCCTTTGGGCTCTTGATCTCTGGCCGGCAAGCGATCGCCGACGTGTTTTTCTGGCAGACGGCCGCTACGGCCTTCAAAGGAGGCTTGGGGTCCCCCGCGGGCCGCGTGTTCCAATTGATCACGCCCTCCGGCGAGTTCAGCGCGAAGTGGGCTCTGCCCTGTGCGACCAGGCCGCACGGCGTGTTGTACTCCGCGTCCGGGGCACCGCCGCCCTCCGTGTACGAGGCCCTGTAGACGGGGTCGGTGACGGACAGCATCGCGACATCGAGGCCCTTCTTGGCATACAGGCCGAGGGCCTTGGCCGCGAAGAAACCAGCGTGGTTCGTGTTGGGCGTCCAGTCGAGCGCTATCGTCACCTTCTCCGCCATGACCGGGGGGTCCTGCGGCTGGAGCAACGGATCCAGACTTGAGCGAAAACGGCTGCGGACCCAGGCACAGACTAAAATGAATTCTGGTACACGTCGCTAATCCACGCTCCTTGATCCATGTTTGCGCTTCAAAAATCGCCACGAGCGAGGGGGGGAAGTGAGAAGCAGAAGGCCTTCGCAGAAGGTTCGGAAGTCCCCGGGCCTTCTGAGAAGTCTTCTAAGCCCGGCTTCTGAGAGAAGGAGAAGGCCTGTTCAAAGGCGCGAGGGCTTCTGAGAAGTCCCGCCGCCTTCTGACAAGGCCTTCACCTTCTCACTTCCCCCCTCGCCCGCCGCCGAAAAAAAAACAAGGAGGAAGATAGGGAAAGAGGGGAAGGCCCCCGGTGTCTCGACGGCCCCCCCCCTCGGAAGCCAAAGTTCGAGCCCCTCGACCTGGAGCCGCCAAATGAGTCGACGAATAGGTGGCAGGCCCTACACCCTGCGAAATGCTTAAGAAATCATGGATTAAGAAATTCATAGTCTCAGAACCTGAATAAAAAAACCCAACATGTCTACTAACATCTTAAGATTTACATTGAAACGTTAAAGAATAATCGAGACCCTGGCCGAAAACTCAAGTTTTCTTAAGCATCGCCTAAGGTGTAGGGAAAGAGGGGAAGGCCCCCGGTGTCTCGACGCCCCCCCCCCCCCTCGGAATCCAGAGTTCGAGCCCCTCGACCTGGAGCCGCCAAAGTGCGTCGACGAGATAGGCGGCAGGCCCTGCAGCGAGAAGCCAACAGCGCCCCAGGGCGGCCTCCCAAGAGGCAAACATCATGGATTTCCCGACGGTTCCTGGAGGTTTGCGGCCCTTCCGCCTTCTCGGAGTTCCGACGCTCCAAGACGGCCCCAAAGGCGCCCAGGGCAGCCCCAAGACGGCCCGAGGGGACCCCAAGAGGGACCCCAGGCGGTCCAAGACTGCCCCCAAACGACCCCAGAGGCGCCCAAGATCGCCCAAGAGGGCCCCAAGACGGCCCCAAGAGGGGCCCAAGAGGGGGACCACGAACCACCAACTCGAGCCTCCCAAGAAGCCCCCAGGAGGCTCCGAGAGGCCCCCGAGAGAGCCCATGCGGCCCCCTGGAGGCCCCACGAGGCCCCTAAGAGACCCACAAAGAGGCTCCAAGAGCCCCCCAAACGGCCCCCAAGAGGCCACGAACGCGCAGGCAAACGCCTGCGACGGCACACTACGGGGCGGCTGAGTGAGCGAAGCGATTAAATAAGCTTGGAATTCGGACGAAATTTCAAACACCTTGAGAAACGAATCCTTCAAGAATCCTCAGGAACCGTCACGAATCCTGCAAGAGCTGGCAGGAAACAGCATGAGTCCTCAGGAGTCCTTCAGAAATCCGACGGGAGTCCCCAAGAATGTTCGGGAATCCTCAGGAGCCCTTAGAAATCCGACCGATCTCTCAGGAATCCTCTGGAATCCTTGGCGGATCTTCAGGAAGTCGTCAAGAACTGGCAGGACTCCACAGCAATCCTCGGGAATCCCCATACATTCAGGACTCCACAGGAATCGTCAAAACCCTGGGAAATTTAGAATGATCGCGTAGCAGCGCGCAGCGTCTTTCAAGCATCCTGGGTGCACTTTGGTCCTCCTTCTCATCGCCCCCTCCTCGTCCGCCTCCTCCTTCGAATCCTGGTTGGCGCCAACGTCGCGCCCACAGCGCGCGCCGTCGCGCCTGGGGGGGACTACACTTGAGGGGGGCCCTCCAGGAATCTTTATGGAATAGCCAAGATTCCTCAGGAACGCGCACGGAACCTCAAAACATCATCAACTAATCGCTGAGAAATCCTGGAGAAGCCTTCATGTCAGGAATCCCCCTGGAGTCTTCAGGAGTGTTGAAAAATCCTCTGGACTCATCACGAATCCTGCGTGCCGTCGGCAGGAATATTTAGGAATACTGCTGGCATCCTCAGGAATCCTTCTGTAATATTTTTGGTGTTCGGGTATGGGTAAGAGTTGTCCCGAATCTCTGGGGATTCTCCAGAGTCCTCCCAGAATCCGCAAGGACCTCGTGGATCGTCAGGAATCCTCGAGAATTCCCATGATATTCCTACAAAGAAAGCCCGACGGACGTCTCAAGAGTCCGTCAAGAATCTTCAGGAATCCGTCAGGAACCAATAGGAATCCGCAAGTTCCCCAGAGGACTTTCCTAGATTCCTTTCTTCGGAATCCTCACACCCGTGGGATCCTTCAGGAATCCGATTGGAATCTTGTAAGAATGCTTAGGGAAACTCAGGAATCCAGCAGAAGTTCTCAGGCATCCGAAGGGATCCCTCAGGCATCCTACAGGAACTTCCGAGAATTCTGCAGGAACCCTTTCAGGAATCACTTTGAATTTCCAAGCCCGCAGGACACCTTCGAAAACCTCATGTTGAGCCCGACTGGGGTCCTGTTGGGATCCTATTATGATCTTGGTTGGCTCCTGCACTGGCGCCTCCGGGAGCGGGGTGCCACCTCCAGGGGCAGGACAGGGACAGAGTTCCGCCGAGCAGGGGCGGTGGCTCGATCACGGGCTCCCGAGGCGATGTTCCACGTGCAATCGGGGCGCTGACCAAAGGAACCCCAAATAAGGAACGAGGCCCCTTTTTTCCCATAAGTGAAACTTCGATTTTCCGATCGGAAACAGAAGGGAAACCTGAGGCGAGCTGCGAAACGCTTAAGGAACGCGGAGCCCCTCCCCAACGACAAGGGTTCCTTCTTCAGGGCCCCGACTGTACTCGTCCACCTCCTCCCTTGCGATCTCGCCGCCTCCTGCCTGCTGGATGCACCAGGTGGGGGATGGGGGGCCAGGCGTGGCTCCCCTGAGCCCCAGGTCGACAGCAGGGAAGGATGAAGAGGCGCGAGGGAACGCGCGCGAGGAGGAGGAGGACGGAGCAGGGAGGAAAGATAGGTCAGGAGGCCAATGAGGGAGTGGGAGGACGATGAATAGGAGGAAGGAGAGGAAGGAGGAGGAGGGACACATGAGAGGAAGAGGGGGAGCGAGAAATCAATCGCACCGACTGGAGGGGGAGGGCCACGGAGGAGGCGGGAGGAAGCAATATGATGAGAAAGTCGGGGGGAGGACTTTGGAGGAGGGAGACCGCGCGAGCATTAGTGTTGGTACAGTCGGCTGCCACTGGCAGCCGTCGTAACAACAAATGCGACGCAGTCGTCGCACTGTACCGGTTCGACTGGATTATGCGTGGCTAGATGGCTAGATATCCTCCTCCTCCTCCTCCTCCTCCTCCTCCTCCTCCTCATACTCTTCCCCTCCCAACCCCACCTCCTCCTCCGCCGCCACCCCTGCCGCCTTCCCCCTAGTCCACCCTTCCTCGCAGTTCTTGTGCTCCTTCTGCCCCGCTCCTGCCTTCGTGCTGCACTTTCTCCTTCTCCTCTTCCTCCTCTTCCTCCACCACCTCCTCCTCTCCTCCTCCTTCTCCTCTCCCTTCTCCCTCTGACTAACACCCCCCTCTCTAGCTTCCCCCCTCTAACTCCTCAATCCGTCGTCCTCCGCCGCCAACCCATCCGTCGCCTACCTCGCCTCGGAAGTCTCGGGAGGCCTCTGCAGAGGAGGGGGGAAGGAGGAGAAGGAGGAGGAGGAGGAGGAGGAGCATCAGCATGAGCATGTGAGTTCGCGAAGTGAAATGGAAGAGGAGGAGGAGGAGAAAGAGGAGGAAGAGGAGGAAGAGGAGGAGATGAAGGAGGAGGAGGAAGAGGAGGAGGAAGAGGAAGAGGAGTAGGAGGAGGAGGAGGAGGAGGAGGACGACGACCCGTGCCGTGCAAGCCCAGGATGCATCAGCGTTGCGGCAAGCCCTCTCTTCACATATCCCGGCATGCACTGCGTGCGTTCGGAGGAGGGGGAGGGGAACGACGATGACCACAGAGGGGAAGGCTCCCCCCCAGCCCCGCCGCGTTCACCAACACCGCCGGCACCAGCGCGCACAGCAGCCGCACGAACCACGGGAGCGTCCCCGTCGCCTCGCCCCCCCCCCTCCCAGTTGGGCGCGCCGCGAGAGGGAAGCGCCCCCCCACCGCCTGGCCCAGCCTCTCCTCGGGAGCGGCGGTGCGCCCGCACGTCCGACGATGCTCCGTTGCTGAATCCACGGCCCCAGGGTAAGGAGATTGCACGCAGGAAGGCATGCTGCACGATGCGCCCTCCTCGGAGGCGCCCGTCACGTCTTGCAGTAGATCGTTTTTCGGAGCGGTATATGGCCAGGCGGCGCCCGCCACGAAGCTTATACTATAAGATTTCTCGGCGCTCGCGTCGCTCCTGCGGGGGCGGCGCACACATAGTATGTTAGCAAGATGGGGTGACGCCGATAGACGGGAACGCAGGATCGCGCCGGCGTTGAGAAACTCGGCCCAGCATCGAGCCGCACTACCGATGCATCGGCGATGCGGTGCGATCCTCCGACAACCATCTACTCCGACTCCATCTGGGAGGCCTAGACAGAAGTCTCGACCACTTTCCTGGGACAGGTTGTCGTCCTGGATCCGTTTTTGATGGTCCCGGGGCCCGATGACGAGCCCCAGAGGCCGAAATGGAGGAAAGACACTCGGATTGAATAATACATATATATATATATATACATTGACCATCGAGAATAAAGAAATCAACAAATATCCAGACCGCTAATCCCTGGACCTCTCCTGGAGGTGCGTTTGCAAAAATCATGTCGAGGCGAATCCAGCCGTGACGACGAGGGCCCCAAGGGAGGCCCGAACAAAATTAAGAACGAGCAGAAGCAGCAGTGGAGGCGCGGCGGCGGACAGCAGGCTCAGCGCCCAGGCTTTGCTCGAGCAGGAACCCGCCGTCCCCGCATTCCTACAGGCATGTGGCGACATGTTCTTCGAGCAAAGAGCTTTCTGATCAAAAAGCCGGTGTTCTTAGAACAGAAAGCCGATGTGTTACACCAGTCCGGTCTCAACCAACGGCGTTCCAAGCAAATGTCTTGCAAAACGCCACGAGAGCATCTTTTTACTCAAGGTGATAACGATACGACCATTCTGGAGACAGGGGGGGGGGCATTGGGGGGCGGGGGGGGGGCCAAACGGCGAAGGGGGAGGCCAAACTGTAACGACCCCGACCCCTTGCCGTGATAGGGGGGGGCCGGACGCGCAGCGGCAGTGCTGGGAACGCACTGGGGTGGGAGTGGGGGGGCGTTACGCTGTGCGGGGTGCGGAGGGGGGGATTTGGACGTCCGAAATGGGTACGGAAAGAATGGGTACAATGCCCAACAGCAGTTCCTTTTCATTCTGAACAGGACTCGCTGTCGGTGTCGCCGCGGCCTGTGTCCATTCGAGACAGAAGGCCGCCTGCCCAACAGCGGCCGCTGTTGGTTTGGGACAACATTTGCTGTTGGGCATTGTACCGTTTTCTTCCGTACCCATTTCGGGCGTCCAAAGGGGAGGGCATGACGCTCCTTCTGGCCCCGAGGGCAGGGGAGCCAAGAATCGCATCGACCAGTCGGCTCGGCGATCGGAGTGCATCAGACGGCGGAGTTCGGCAGCCGAGTCAGGAGACGTCGAATCGGCGGACATCGGCAAGCTAGTAGGCCTCCAGTGAGAAATCGGAGCCCAAATCGGAATCCCGAGTCGGATCGAATCGGAACCGGAGGCCATCGAAATCGCATCGAGTCGAATCGGAGAAATCGAAACGATCCCTGATAGGGTAAAGTAACACTCTCCAAAGGTTATTCGAACCTTCTGTTGGTGGGCCTATATAGGCAAGACAAGACGTTCCGCCATTGTTGAGCAAGGACCGATCGTCCCGGCATTCCTACAGTCTTACCAGAAAGTGTTCTCAGAACCCCAAATGTTCTAAGAAAAGAACAATCTTCGTATAGCATAAACCCGATGTGCTAAAACAAGACAGTCTCAGCCAGAAATGTTCTAAACACATTTCGTGCAGACCACATTATTTGAACATGTCGTTCTAAGGTTATTAAAGCATTCTTTGGTGGGCCTATAGGCGAGCCAGAACGGTCGTATTGTATGTATATGTTTGGTCCGGGGGGCAACATCCATGATCGAAATGGACTTGGTAACAAAAAGGTTTGCGTAGTTCCGCTGTCAACGATCCACAGCCCAGTCCCCATTAAGGCAAGAATGTCGCACCGAAAACCCCCCCTCCCGCCACGAACTGCGCCGTGCTTCCGATAACTCCAACAGCAGCCGCAACCGCGACAGGGAACTTCTTCATGATGGAGAACGGCAGCGCGAGTGTCCTACGTAGTGGCATGCGGGGGGAGGCAGAAGATTGCAAGACAAAACACGACAATGTCACCATACAATCCGTCAAGAGATGTGCTGAAGATACTGTGGTCGACCAAACCGCGCAGCGTCATCGCCCAGAGGAGGAGTGAGAACAGGGGGGAGGTTGTTTTCCATGTTTCCCTTCCCGTCGTCCTCCTTTCCAAAGACCCGATGCCTCGATCTGACAATGCAGGGCCATCCGAGGTCCCGACACTTCCCCCGTCCCCGTGGCAGACTTTCCATCCTTGTTAATCATTGGACGATACTGGGACCTGATCGTAGACACAAACATCAAAAATGGCAAACCATCCTCCAGTCGTGCTGTCCTCCAAGACGAAAAACAAATTGGCACTGCTCTTCCGTAGAATCACCACTCTCCTCCCCGTGGGCGCTGCGGTCCCCATGCTGGAGTAGGTGTACGGACACCTCCACAGGCCGCCGTGGCAGGACGTCGATCTGGGCAGGTTCGGGGGGCTGACACACAACTTTGTCTGCAGGACATCCCTTCCTCTCGTGGCCCTCCCCCTCCCTCTGCCATCCTCCTCCACCTTTCCAACTCTTTTCTTTCGTCTCATTTCTCCTAATCCTAGTCCGCAATGCCAGCCAGCAGTAACATGCAAGGCAGAGAGCCAAGGACGATAGACGACTAGAAGAGATGGGCATGAACTGACTGGACGATTGTGGCAAAACGAAAAAATGGATTAACACGATGATGCTTATTGCTCCTGTGCTCTTGGAAAACATCAATCCCTATTCACCACCGTGCTTTCGGCACGTTGGAGAGTGTTGGGGTGCCTGTCGCTTTCAGGTAGGGCTTCTGTACACTTCGTGAAAGCAGCCCCCTTGCCATGACCACACCTTGAACACCGTCAGCCAAGACTACCAAAAGCCAGCTCCAAGGCGGCCCCGAGATCTGACCGGGTGCTCGCAATATTACCCCACCAAGATCCACCAAGGCTCAAAGACTCTTCAAAGGCCCCAAGAGAACCTCATCAGGTTACCAAGAGGCTCCAAGAGGAGTCGTTCCAAAGATGGCTCTAGCGAGCTTCCTCGGGAGGGCTCGGTAGAAACACCGACCACCGCGCCCAAGACAGCTCCGTGACGACGCAATATGTATTGAAGAGTCAGGAGCCAGGGGGGGAATCATGAGACGGAGGGGACGGGAGGACTATAATGGATCTGCAAACAAGGAGTGGGACTTAGTTTGAATACCCTGCTGAATTGCTGCGCTGGCGCAAATGCGGGGCTTGCCAGAGGCAGCTGGATGAATTCCCTTTGAGGCTGCTGAGCCTCCAAATCATCTGGAGTCACTTCGAAATGACTGCCGAACAATGCCTGCTCGCCTGGTCGCTGCGGAATGTGATCAACAATCCGCAGACAATCAACAACACCCCGAGGTCTTTGCATCCCGGTAGGCCCATGTCATACCGCAAACCCCACTCGACACCATACCAGCAAACCAGGAAGGCCGAGATGGTGGTGGACGCCACTGGGTGTATGCTCATGTAAACAGTTGTGACAGACGGATCCGTATGCTGGTTGGCCCACGATAGCAGAGGCCACGCGACAAGCGTGCAGATGATCACTTCGTAGCCCAGCGGTTCCAGGATCTCCCTCGGGATGCTCAAACCCTGGGTGATGCACTGCGCCTGAAGGAATTCGTTGCCGCTGTAGCACAGCAGGTTCATCAAGGGCGCGCAGCGGAGAGCCCAGCACTCGCTGATCACCAACAACACGCTGCCAACCATGTTGGACCACATCACGGTCGCATGCGCAGAGTACTTGCTGCCGAGGCTGCCGTCGACCAGAAAATACGCAGACGTACCAAAGATGCCGACGCAGAAGAGAAGGTGGCTGAGAAGCCTCGTATCCCAGGAGCTGCCCCTCCCCTGCCCGCCAGCGTGCCCGCCACTGCTGTCCAGCACGACCATCAGAATCGCACCGCCCGTGGCGACAACAATGCCCAAAGCGTGCGTGGCCTGGATCTTGGACTGGCCCATGGCGACGGAGAGTCCTGCGGTCACGATCGGCAAGAGGGCCTGCCACGCCGATCCCACGACCGGATCGGCCAGCTTCAGGCCGACGAACCAGGCGACCTGGTTCGTGAAGAAGGCGAGGCCGCCGAGCAACACCCTGGGCACGTCCGCGCGCTCCGGGAGGGGCGCTCGCCCCGCGAGGCGCACGGCCCCGAGCAGGAGGCACGCGCTGATGAGCTCTCTCGCGAGCTCGAACACAATCGGGTTGGAGCCGTGCACCCCGAACTTGCCCACGATGGCGCCGCCGCCGAACAGCGCGTAGCCCGTGCAGAGCGCGAGGTGCACGAGGGCGACGGGCGGCCTCAGATCGACGGCCCCTCGGGCCCTCCCCAGCGTCCCATATTGTCCCGAGGCTGGAGCTCGTGCGCGTGGAGCCGATACGGCAGGTTCGCGCCGTGTCGACCTCGGCGTTGGTCTCTGACACCGCGGGGATCGCTCAGCCTCGAGCGATCGGCCGTGTCCGAAGCGTCCAAATCGTTCCACATCGAACGATTCTGGGTCGCCCGCGGCGTTCAAGGTTGTCTTTGTCTTCGTCGTCGTCGCTGTCGTCGTCCCTCCAAAAATCCTACGGCAGGTTCGTATCGTGCCGACTCCAGCGTTGGTTTCTGACACCGCGGGGATCGTTCAACCTTGAACGATCGGCCGTTTTCGAAGCGTCCAAATCGTTCCACATCGAACGATTCTGGGTAGAGCCTGTGTATTCTCTGCTTTGCTGTCTTCCCCCATTAATATTCGTTGTCTCCTGTGCTGCGCGTGCCGCCTTCGCCCCCTTGCTCTCTCGTCGAAGGTCCCAGCGCCCGCGGCGTTCCAGGTTGAACGCCGCGGGCGGGGCCGCCGCCGGTCGACACGACACGAACCTACCGTACCCAAGGACACCAGGAGGAGGAGGAGGAGGAGGAGGATGGAGCAGCAGGAGGAGGAGGAGGAGGAGGGAGGAGGAGGAAGGAGGAGGAGGAGGAGAAGGAGGAGGGAGGAGGAGGAGGAGGAGGAGGACGAGGAAAAGAGTGAAAAGGAGAGTCAGCCAAGTAAACCATGCTGGGCGAATCCGCGGGCCCCGCCTCTGCCCGGGGTCCGAGAAGATCCACGCCCACAGCCCCCCTGAGTCGTGGGGCGCCTTACGAGGCAACATCTTTGAGGTCGTCGTGAGAACGAGTGAGGGCTATCAAGCCAGACTCAGGGGCCATTCAGCCAGATGTGAAGTTGGGCCACATGAAGCCCCGGATGGCGTCGCGCCAAGCAAGAGTAAGCTGAAGTGCGCGGGGTTGTGCCTGACTAGCAATAAAAGGACACCTGACCTAAGCCTTGGGGAAGGGGACCTCAGCTAGGAGGCCCAAATCAGAGCCAACACGAACCGAATCGCCCATTCTTGGAGGCCTGGAAATTGGCACCAACACCAGCACAGGGGGTTGCCTTCACATGGGAAAGATGGTCCTAGATGTCGGTGTTGGTGGTAACATTTCGGGAATGTTACCACCATCACCGAGATCGGAATCTTCTTCCCTCGGTGGAGGCACACCGCCGATCTTGGTGTTGGTGTCAACCTCTAGGCCTGCGACATTCGTGTTATTCCCAATGCGAAGGCGGTGGCCTCAAGTAGGCTACGTCTCCATTGTGCTGTGACAAGACAGGGACTCGCACATTCCGACTCACTGCAGGGCCGAGCCCACCTTCGCCCACGGAAGCACCAACGCCGATGCAAAATTCAAGCTCTGCGCAGGCTCCGGCCTCGGGCGTGTGCCTTTCTCGAGCCACGAAGCCACAGGCCCCCCCCCGGGCGCAGGGAGGAAGCGCTGCGCCCGCGCGCCCGGCATCCCGGCTGCCGCGCGGGCCGAAGGGGTGTGTCCCTGAACCCTGGCCGGCGGGGGCAGTGTGCGGAGCGAGGGGTTGGAGCCAGAGCGGCTGAAGACGCCCACGGAGAGCTCGGGCAAGGGGAGGACGCGAAGGGGACGGCGGCCACGGCGGCGGCGAGGTCAAGGACGCGACCGGGGAGAGGCCGAGGGGCAGGATGCAGGATGCGGGGAATGGGATGGGAGGAGGGGGAGGAGGGGGAGGGGGGAGGAGGAGGAGGAGGAGGAGGAGGAGGAGGAGGAGGAGGAGGAGGAGGAGGAGGAGGAGGAGGAGGAGGCGGAGGGTGAGGAAGTCAGGGCGAGGGGGCGACGGGCGAAGAGGAGAAGCAGCAGAAAGGGAACGAAGCCAAAGTGCGGGAAGCATAACGATGAAGATAATCTGAAGGGGCCCCAGGACACACAAATAAATACACACAAATAAAAATATTCCCCATATTTTCTCATATTTTCTGGGTTTCTGTCTTCCCAACCACTTCCCATATTTTCCCATATTTTCTGGGAATCGCCGATTAATTGTGTCTGTGTATTTTTTCCCCTCCTGATAATCATGGGCTGGAGGATACGGAGGAAAAAACAACCCGAACAAAGGTGCGATGGCGAGGACGACGAACGAGACGAAGAGAGCGACAGGAGTCTGGATTGAAAAGGGAAGGGGGGTGAACGTGGAGACTGGGGAAGAGAATGACTGCGATGAGGGGGTGGGGGTGGAGAAGGAGGAAGGATAATGGGTAGAGGATAGGAAAGGGAAGAAGGCGAGAAGAAGGCGACAGGTGGATGTGAAAGAGGGCCGACAAAACCATGACGAACGCAGAAGGAGACCGGGGGAGTCGGAAAGTGCGGCAGGAGCAGTACGCGCAACAGCATGACAATTCACACGCGGGGAAGCATTGAAACAAACTGACCACAACAGAAGCGATCCGCCGGAACGCTCGAATTCTTGAGGACACTCGACGGACTAGTTATTTGTCCGGCTGCGAGAGAGGGCGCGGGGACAGGAGCGGCTGCGGGGGACAGGGGGGAGGAAGAGGGCACTCACGGCTGAAAGCGTTTCAAAAGTGAGAAAGCAGGAACGGCCAGCCGGGGCCGAAATGTCCTGGCAGTGGACGCGGGACGGCATCACGGCCACACCCAAGGACAGAATCCGAGGCTGCAGGCGATGAAACGTGAACGGCAAGGTGAATCGGCACACCAGGAAAAGTGCCCACAGGGCTGAGGAGCGGGATCATCCGGTTGTCCGTCACGTTGCCTGGGAACTCAGGCTTGCTGCAAGGGGCTGGCGCCAGCTGGATGCGGGGCCAGGATGGCCCAGGCGAAGCGCAAGAGACCCGCACGGCGCTGCGCCGAAATGCGCGGGAGCGGGAGCATCCACGTGTCCGCCACGTCGCCTGGTAACGTCAGGCTTTGCTGCAGAGGGCCGGCGCCAGCTGCATGCAGGACCAGAATGGCCCAGGCGAAAGCACGAAACCCGCGCGGGACTGCGTCGAAACGCGTGGGCTGCAGCAAACTGCTGTCTGGGACAGGCCACCACGACGCTGACGACTGCTGAGACGGCGCCAGCAGAGGCTGGGCGCGCCGGCGGGGAGCTCGCGGCGGCAGCGGCCCAGGCAGCGAGGCGGCGCGGGAGGGTGGGGGGGGGCAGGAAGGTGGCGCAGGAACAGAAAAGGGCGAGAATCGCCCCGCCTGGCCGGCGCACGCATCGCAGCCAGGCAGGGCGGGCAGCAGCCAGGCCACGGGGGCAGCTGGGCGGTGGCTGAGGCCTGGCCGCAGGATCGGCAGGGCGCTGGCGGCCCGGATAGGCCGCCGGGAACCCACCCAGCACGAAGCCTTTGGAGGGGCAGCGCGCAGGGCATGGCCGCCGAGGGGGGGAGGGAGGGGCGCTAGCGTGGAGGGCGCGAGCGCGAAGGTCTTTTATGTTTGCTGTTCCCCCCCCCGCGCCGGCGCGGCCAGCCAGGGCTGCGGCGCCAGAGCACTAGACGCGGGGTGGCATCGCGGTCGCATCTCCTTGCCCATGGCCAGATTGGACCCCGGCCAAAACAACCGAATGTAACTGATCATCACATCGCAAACACACGGGTCGCGCAGCGCCGCCGAGTCCTCCGCGGCCCGCAGCGCCCAGCACCAGAAACTCCTGCCCCGCGTGCCCCCTTTTTCCTTGAGGGGCCTCGGGCAACGCGCGGCGTCCGTCGCCGCTGGTGCCCGCCTCCGTTCTGAAGGGGCCTTCCAATGCGCGGAGCTGGCTGCTGGGGCCCCTCCGCGCGAGCTGCGCCAGGCAAGCGCCACGCTGCCGCGAGCCGGCGCGGCCAGCCAGAGCCGCGGTTCCAGGGCAGTGGGCGCTGGATGGCACCGCGGCCGCATTTCCTCGACCTTGGCTGGATGGGAGCCCAGCCAGGTCAACCAGGTGGCGACTGCTCCTCGCAAACACTTGCGCCGCGCACCGCCGCCGCGCCCTCCGCGGCCCGCGGCGCCCAGCACCAGCCACTCCTGCCCTCCGCGCCCCGAATTTCTCTATGGGGCCGCAGGCATTGCGCGGCGTCCGTCACCGCTGACGCCCGGTTCCGCTCACACAGGGCCTCGCGATGTGCGGGCCTGGTGGCTCGGGGCCCTTCGCGCGGGCTTCCCCAGGCAAGCGCGCCGCCGCCGCCGCCCCATGATCGACGCCGACCTCTGCGCGGCAGGTTCGCGACCATCGGCCCGTGGCCCTGGTCCTCAGGCCAAAGGCGAGCAGGGCGGCAGCCAACGCGTCGTCGAGGGGGCAAGCCGCGGCGACAAGGAGCGGCGAGGACGGGGATGGGCACCCCGAGGGGGGGGCATCTCCGACGGCCCCATCAGCGGTGGATGCGGGCCAGCCTGTCTGCCATCATCTTCGAACACATCAAAAACTACACTTAGCAAAACTCCACCCAGTTGCGGGGACCAGGGGGGGCAATCAAAATTCGGTTAGGCGCGCTGGTCGGTCTGGGTGGACGGGCACCGCCTCGCGACCTACGACGGGGAGCGCTGGTCATGCGAAACACGTGGGGCGCCAAGCGTTGCAACTATCAGCATGTTTCACGGCGGGGCTAAGCGGCTGCTGCAATAGGAAATGATAACGCGAACTGCCGCTTCATCCGTGGAGGGGGGATCCAGCACGGAAAAGAATTCGAAGGCGTGGGGCGTCTGGCCAGGCATTTACTTACGGCACGCATAGAACCGATCGCGGCTACAAAACTTGGCGAGACACGGGGACGAGGTGGAAGTGGAAGGACATAATGAAAGAGGCTGCTAAGGCACGGAGACACGAGATGAGGGAGGAGATCACGCCTGAGGCAAAGCGGCGCCCCAAAAGCACAGAAAACACTGGGGTCATCATACTGGGGCAGAGGCGGGGAAGGGCAGCGGGCAGTGCGAGGCGGAAAAGGACAGCGGCCATGCAGGTGGTTTCGCTGAGCCTGAGGAAGTGGGGAGTCGGCGGGGAGCGGCCCTGGGGACGGGGCCTCGGAGATGGGCAGCACGGGCAGCCGATGCTTCGCCAGAAGGGGACACGTACAGAACTACACTTAGCGGCCGGGGCACGGTACACGTCGGGAGCGCGAGTCGCGCCCCCGACATGTACCCCGCCCCGCTGGCTAGGTGTAGTTATATGAGTGCTCTGTTTTGTGAGAATGTCCCTGGCGAAACCAGCACGTACAAAACTACACCTAGCGCCTGGCTCAGTGTAGTTCTGAACGCGCTGGATGTCTCGAGCGGGGCGAGCACGTATAGACCGGCACCTAGCGAAAGTGGCAGGGTACAGGTCGGGGGCGTCGCCGCGCCTCCCCGCAGAGTCAGGGGGGCAGGGGCCACTGAAATCCCAGCCGCCCTCAGGGCGGCGGAGGCTGGACGTCCCAGGGATGCCCGAAAGGGACCCAACTGCGGCCAAGGGCACGCAACGAGGTCCCTGGGGGCCCCAAGAGCGCTCCACGACCTCCAGCCGCAATCTGAGGTCGTAGCGTCTTGGGGGTCTCCTGGAGCGCTTGGCGGGGTCTTGGATTCTTCCTGGGGCGCTCGGGAGGTCCCAGGAGCGCACCTGCTCGCCACGACATCTGGTCTCGATCTGGAGGTCGTGGCGTCTGGGGCCCCCGTGGGGCGTTTTGGGGGCACTGGGGGTTCCTCCTGTAGCCCATCATGGGTCCCACGAGCGCTGGTGGTCGCTACGACCTCTGACCTTGTTCTGGATCCCTCCATCCTCTTTGCCCCCCCTGTGATCAGGGCAACTCGCCTGGTGACGATGTTTCGAGGATTTTAAAAGATGTGCGCGCTCCGCCTCCGCCTCCTAATCGCGAGTTGTTATTTCTGATTCCACGCCGACTCTGGCTAGCGACGTCGAGGCCCTCGCAAATCCGACAAACGCGATGACCCCCCTCGAATGGCGGGCAAAACGAACTTTGGAACGATAGCCCAAAATTAAGTTTGAAATTTCGGGATCCGCGAGAGAAACTAATCCACTCGCCCAAAGTGTAGCTCTCTATCTGTCCGACATCTGGCCGCGCTGCCGCGACCAGGCGGCCCCCCCCCAGGATGCTGCAGTCCGCCAGGGCGCGGTCGTCCTCAAGCCGCGTGGGTTTGCAACCCAATAGCTGGCAGGCCAAGCCCTCCCGGTGCGGGATATGGACATTCATAACGCCAGTGGTGCCTTTGGCGTTCACATCCAAGTGAAGTCGGCTGCCCCGCGAGCGTCGCCTCGAAGATCTGCATCGCATCTTCCACCCGCATCACGCTGAGCAGCAATTGGGCAAGCTACCATTGTCCGCACTTGTCGCGCGCGCTGAAGGGGCTGTGGCAAGCTCCAGCTTTACGCCCTGCGAAATGCTTAAGAAATCATGGGTTAAGAAATTCATAGTCTCAGAACTTGAATAAAACCCAGAACTTCTATCAAAATCCTGGGATTTACATTGAAAAGTTAAGAATAATCGAGACTCTGGACGAAAACTTAGGTTTTCTTAAGCATCGCCTAAGGTGTAATCCACAAGTCTCGCTGAGCAGCAACAGGGCCGGCTGCCGCCGCTCGTGCCTCTCGCAAGCTCTGCTCGGGCCGATGCAGCTCAAGATAAGACCCGGGCGCTCCAGCTCCGCCGCCGACATCTCGCTGATCTAACAGGGGATGCGTCGACCCCTATCC